TCGCGGAGCCACAGGACCCGGAGCACGAGCGCCTGCCCCACGAAACCTAAGAGCCCCACAGAGCTGGTGAGGATGGAAGCAACTGGACAGAAAACCAACCCACCTGCGCTTTTTTATTTTTTTTTAAACCATCAGAGAAAGTTTCTTTAGAAAGTCACAGAGGTGGAAGAAATGGGCTCAGGAAAGAAGTAACAGAGGCAAAGTGGGGGGCGGGGCTGGAGCTGAGGAGAAAGAAAGCCAGGAAAACACCTTGGGGGGGGGGGGGACGGGGCAGGCTCCACCCAGAGCTGCCAAACCCACCTGCTTTTCAGGTGAATGAAGACATGAGAACAGCGAGGCAGGCAGTCCTTCGAATAAGAAAAAGGCAGAGAGGGAATAAGGAAAAGCAGGGCAGCAGCATGACCTTCGGGCCAGGCTGAAGGGTGTGGACATCAAGGGGGCGGGTAGGGAAATGTGGGGGGAGAGGGGCACCGAAGAACAAGACAGGAGACAAAATGAACGGAAGAAGGAAAAGACACAAAGAAAACCAGGGAAGGGGATCAGGTTGCAGGTGTGAGGAGAAGGGAGACGAAGTTACCAGCTCTCCGTGGACACTGCCACGGAGGACCCGACTAAGGCGTTCAGAAGGGACTGGGATGGACAGGACCTGGACAGGAACCGCTCGCAGGAGAGGCGGCAGCTGGGCTGCCAAGTTCAAGGCCGAGGCCTCGCAAAGCTGCGCTGCCCTCGGGAGAAGTCGGAGTGGAAGGCGGGCAGGAGGGGTTTGAGACGGGCGGTAGGCATTAGGCTCCAGGAGGAAAGGAAATGACCAGAGGGACCAGTCACTTACAGTCCTGCCCCCTCACCTGGCGGGGAGATGTCGGAGGAAGGAGGGGGGTAAGCAGTGCAGCCTCACGCGGACAGAGGACCAGGGAAGGGCCGCCTCCCACACAGCTCGCCCAGGGATGCGCTGAGCTCAGGCGGACTCTGGGGATCTCCCCGCTGTATCAGTGCCACTTTACACGGGTTCCTCACAGAAACAGAAGCAGGTGGAGGGCAGACCCGCTCCCGATGTCACGGTACCCTCTCCGTCCGCCGCCGGAGCTGACGGGCTGTGTGGGGGAGTGGTTACATCTAGACACACCCGGATTCCACGTCCAGCCGCCCCCCCCACCCATAGCGTGTGTCTCATACAAGGTCCCAAACCTCTCTACGCCTCTGTCTTCTTACCTCTAAAGTGGAGGTAACAGTGATACTATTTCATAGAAAAGGGTGAGCTTTAAATGCGTGCGGTGATTGACAGGTAAGAGACACCTTCAATTGCTGTTAACGAAAACAATGTCGCCTTTACAATGACTACGCAGGGTGCTCAGGGGCTGGGACAGTGGGGACTCCATGAGCCCCCCAAACCTTCAATCTGCACCAGGTGCACAGCTGGCCGGCCTGCCCCAGCCCCTCCCTTATTTACCGTCTCCACAGCCAGCCACACCTCCTGCAGCCC